TTGCCACGGCGTGTTACTTTTGCAACTAAAACAGGAAACTGCAACTAAACGCAATACGTGCATCGTAGATACGTACATGTTCATGCGCCAATAAGTATTCATAAAAGAATTTGAATGTGTCTTCAATCCGGTTTTTGTTTACGGATCCGAACAAATTTTGACCTTGGTGGTAAGATTCGCAAGTAATTGTTAGTATGTAAGAATTTTCGTCAATACAATACGGTATGTTTATTTATTTTTAGGCATCTATATTTAGATGTCAAATATTAAGTTAATTACCCATTCATATTTTTATAAAGGTAAATATTTGACAAGTAAAAAATAAAATTCGGAAATAGAGATTGTTAAAAGAGTTAAATTCTTATGATTTTAATACAACATTCCTTCTGACGTCATTTCTTTGATTTACTAGTTACAAATTATAATTTATGTAGATACTTGTATCTATGATTCATATATATCCACAGTATATGAATTAAATCAAATGTCTACATAAGTTTCGAAAGTCGAACAACTCCTACATAGAAGTGAATGACATCTCTTTGTAAAGACAATTTTATTAAAACTAGCTAACTATAATAGACCTATAAGTACATCTAAATCTTTCTCAAGAGAATAGAAATAGGTGGAAACACTAGATTAATCATAATTATTCGAATATAAAAATAAGTTATAGTGATCACAACATTATAGATTATATGGCTTTACTTAGGTAGTATTTTAATTAAGTATATATAGTTTGATGTGATTATACGCTACGTACCATACCTAAGTCATAAAAGCATTTGACAAGCAAATGCTTTTATGATTTAGGTAATTTAAATAAGTGAGTTCATAAATAAATAGGTTACCTGTAATAATGAATAATTTAACTGTTCCAATGTAAAACATATACTTACAGTAAACAATAATCCAACTCCAGTTACAAGAATAAGGAGTTTTCTTTATGTTTATGCATTGATTAATCTTCCAAAACACTCCATTTTATAATATATTCAAAGTCAAACTTATTCGATTGAAATTTAATTGATAAATCAAAGCCATCATCATATAAGCTTTTAACTGTCCACTGCTGAACATAAGCCTCTCCCAGAAGCGCTTTTGCTAGTAGTTGCCGCGTTTGGCAGGCTGGTTCGCAACCGCAGTTAGGCTTTTAGTGATGTTTGAAGAGGGACGCTGCTGTCCATTCTTCGCCCTCCCTTAGTCGCCTTAGTCGTAAATCAAACCCATGTAAGTGATTATTATCTAAGAAATTTTATTTATACTGAGCAGACTTATCATGTGCGTAATAAATATAGTGTTTGACAACAATCAACAGTAGCAGGAAATTAGTAGTTTAATACCTATATATAATCATAGGCTCGAATAAATGACATTATCTTATCTAATAGGTAAGTAATAAATTATCTTCAACTATTTGATACGTAAGTAGTGGAAACTGTGAACCCTGATTTGATATAATTTGTAAATTAATATAACCATTTTAATATTTTTATTGAACTTCAAATAATAGTAAAGTAGATATTATTTATGTGATAAAACAAAAAAGAAAATAAAAAAGAAATAAGTTGATTATATTTTCATTGGTTTTACGCCAATTTTGATGTAGAGACGCCTTTTGCAATCGACATAATTAACTTGCGTGTAGGTTACATTTTCAAATTTAAAAAATCCATGGGATATCGAAAAGTTTTATTTGAATTATTTGCAACACTGAAAAATGAAAAATCAAATTCAATCACTCAACATAGCACTGGCTGGCTGATTGACTTTCGTCCCGTTTTAGATGCGCATAGTATCTCATCTCATCTACGAGTATTTAATCTAAGATGGAGATATTTGTTTTATCGCGTAATGTACACGCACTATATACAAAATACGTCGTATAGATTCAAGATTCCCATGGGCTTGTTAAGAGTAACAGCAGCTATCACGAAGACAAATGTTCATGTGCTCCTATTGTTATTGAACTTAGTCCCTGAATTTCGATGTTTTTTTTTTAATGGAAGATCTATGATTCTAATGAAATCTGACGGAATTAAACCTTAGTTCAGTATCATAAGATTTAGTTTAATTAGGTCTCAAAGTAATTGCAAATACAGAATATATTTTGTATTTATTTTTCTATGTCTTTAAACACGATTACTTTAAAATCTTGGACAGATTTTCATCGATTTTCGATACCATAATTCAAACTTCTTAATCTATATGTATATATATTAGATAATTTACTTGTTAACAATTCCATTAAATAATTATTGTACTAGTATGAATTAAGGGTTTGTTTATTCCTTAATCTTAGACACCTTTAATCATTATCACCTTGACATTGACATGCCTATTACAGGGAATTGTTAGATAAACGAAGATTTGAATGGTAGATATTATGAATAATATATAAGCTGTACATTTATAATATTCGTCTATGTTCTATGTGAATCTTCTCGTAAGATTTATCCTACTTGAACTGCTTAATTGGATATAACTGAAAAATTTACTGCTCAGTTTTTGACATTCTTTGCTATTATTTAAAATAAAATATGAAGTAAAATATATATAATTTTATTTTTAACAAATTGCGTATGTTAATGACAATATTTTATAATCAATATAGGGAAATATCTTCGTTGTTTGGCGGAAATGAGATCTTAGGTTTGTAACCTAAATTGACTCGTTTGAAAATTTAAATCGTCGGGGTAAAAAGCGAAACTGAAGCTTTCGCTTTCGCACTTACTTATATACCATTTTTTTCTAAATTACTACTGAATATTATAATAACATATATACTATACCGATAAGCATAATAATGTGCACTTTGTTATGCAAATTCGATATTTTAAAAACTATGTTAATCCAGCCATTTATTCGCTGAACTTTTTCATTTTATTGTTGCCTATTATAGAAACAAAAATTTATGTATTTATTTCAAAACCTATAAACATGTTATTATAAATAGAAAGAAAATGACAAAAGTTATGAAAATAATTGGATAAACGTGCAAGATGGAAACAGTTGAGGGAGGCCTTTGTCTAGCAGTGGGACACCATGGGCTATGATTGATTGATGAGCATGATTGTAACTGAAAGAAAAAAATACAATTTTCGTGTAACACAAGGGATTTCATTATAGCCACAGATAATGTAATACTATACGTTATGGCTGACAAGTAATCTCTTTCATACTTACTACCTAGTTATAGGAAATTTTTAGATCTATATTCTCTAAAAGCTTCTTAATTATATTATAAAAATCTAACATTAAGTACGAATAACTAAGTATAACGGAAAATAACACAAAATAAAATCGTTTTAATCGTAAAAAAACAACTTAATGGGTTCATGTTGTAATTCGACCGCTCGATTTAGATGTATTTATTTATATGATTTTAATCAGCTTAATTTACAAGGAGACATTATAATAATCTATTAATAATACATAAAATATGTAAATACTCTTAAACATTAAACAGTTTGTAAACTTGACAGAGTCATTAATTTTATGGACATTTCTAGAGGCCGTTACTTGCCTACTTGTTTCCTAAAACAACGAAACACTATATCCTTGAATATATATAACAGACAGATACTATTGATTTGTAAGATGATAAATGTATTGGAATTTATTATGTTATTTTATTATTATGTTAATATAATAGTTAATATAAAATAATTGAGATGTCTGAATACACAAGATAGAAGCCACAAAACATCTTTCATTAGTTCTCGAGTGCAAATTGCCTCTAATGTTAGTTTTTATATATAATTAGCTACTTCGAACATTTATGTTCATTTGTACTGTTTGAGCGCAGGTTTTGCCTATAAAGAGGTGTTTGCTTATAGTTCAGTTATATAAAAATATTATCAAACTGCAAATAGAATAAAATATCCACAAGATTATTTACTCTTAATCTTTCTACTTAAAAAAACTTTGTTTATTTTCACTATCTTTGTATTACAAAAAAATATCAAAATACCTTTTTTATGTCTTGTATATAAATGAACAAGAAGAGTGTGTTGAGTGACAAATATGTTTCAAAAATAATACTTATACCTATGTTAAATATAATTATAATGTACTAAATGTAATTGATGAGTGGTTCCGGTATAGAATGAGTTACCTTTTCCTTTCCCGCGGGCAACTAAGGGACCTTTATGGTTGAGAAATGGGCAGCAGCGTTCTTATCATTACCAAAAATCACCAAAGTTTAACTGCGGTTACTAACCTGCCTGCCAAGCGTGGCAACTACTGGCAAAATCCCCCTTATGGAGGAGACCTATATTCAGCAGTAGACAGTCAATGGCTGATAACTTCCAATGCATTTAATACAAGTAACTATTATATAGATCAATATTATTTTAACATTATATTATATATTTAACTAATTGAAACACTGACTTTACGCGACAAGCATAACTATTAATAGACTTTGAACGTTTTGAATAGGCAAATAAAATTTGACAGGTAATTATTTTATAATGATTTGCTAATTTAACAAAATTAGTTTAGATCAACAGCAGAGTACGGCCTCATTTTGTTAATTATAATTAAGATTTTTTTATTTAACTTGCATATCCTTGCCATGAAATTCCTAAAAGCGGAATGTCTAATAAACTTCACACTTCTGCCAATTTTACATTCTTTTATTTAACTTCGTTCGTATGTCTACCGCTCGTCTTTCAATTTATTTGTAATTCAAGTGATCTTGAATTATTTGGTAGTGTAGTGGTTTAATACACTACATCACCATTCGATAGTTATAAGTTCGATCGTCGCATTATGCATGTATCTCTCGGTTGAAACTTTGTTTAGTCTGGGACCATTATTGTTCAGCTCCTTGCTGGTCGCTGGTTTTGTTATGGATAAATTTGGTAGGAACTTTGAACTAGAAGAATGAAATTAGTTAAAAATAAAAATGCCGTGTATAGACGTGTATGTATTGAGATGTAATGAAAAACACAAAAGAAGCATTCCAAGAAAACAAAAAAAGTATTTTACAATTATGAAATAATTTGTATTACAATATTTTTGTTCGTATTCAACAATTATAATATGTTAAAAATAAAATGTCATTATCAAAGGCTCGGTGACTTCCAAAAGAGCTAAATTATATATTATATTATGTGTATGTTACTATCACTATAAAGTTAATTTAATAATAGAGTTGAAAATTGGTCATAGAAACTTTATAATGTAACAATGCAACTCCAGTTTCAACTTGTTTAATTTGTCTCGATGAGTTGTTGGCTGACAGATATTGATTTGCGTTTGATTATGGAGCCTGAAGGTCATCTAGTCACAAGATCTACGTATAAAGCTTCTTTGTAGAAAGAGATTTTCAGTATTTTTATGATAATACTTCTATTCCATAAGACATTACTGAAAAAAATGTCAGAAATGGAATTAAATTAACCGAAATAAATATAATAAGAACAAATAAATAACAAAATACTTGATACGTTACCAAAACTATCGAATCATATCTTCAGATAACTTCCAGTAGATTGAAGTTGTCCATTTTAAAAACTTTATTAAACTTTTACACTTACATCTGGTTCGTTGATTTTCGATTGCACCTGCATTCAACGTGATAATGTTGGAGTAAGTTTTATAAACTATGAGAAACTACATACATTATGTTAACGACTTTCTTCGAGAAGAAGTATAATATGAGATTATTGTATTACTTAATTCATTTCTATTATTATTTTTCGTGTTAATTCTATCTCGTGGAAAAGTTATATTACTTCTATGCATTGTTTTCAATTTAGAATGAATTGCAGTACCCTCAGTGACACAGTAATAGGCGAGTTGTACTGTGGAAATGTGATTTTTGTAGGATTCTTAATCGGACTAATATTGCTAAGCATAGGCCTCATTTGCCAGTAGTTGCCATGCTTGGCAGGCGAGTTGGCCTCTCTCACGATCATTAAGTTCCCTTAGTCGCCTCTTACGATACCCATGGGAAAGGAAGGGGTGGTTTATTCTATGCCGAGACCACATGGTCAAATTGTGCCAAATCGGACTAATATTGGTAACGAACTTTACTAAGTGGCTCTGCTTTGGGTAATTTTGATTGTAACTCCAAATATAAATTGCCTAATTTCTCATAACACCTCAACACACATGATACCAGCTTGCAAATTTCATTAGTATAATTGTGTGGCACTTATTGTTGTATAAATATAAAAGCTTGTAAAGACGAGAAATATTAGTACGTATACTCGAGACACCTCAGCTCGTTTCATCTAATTCGTTCGTGGAAAAGATTTATTTTCTCAATCTATTATACTTCGTTCTCCTTAAAGGTTATCCTCTTGAGAATTACGAATTCTACTTTAAAATAATATTTCTAAGTATTCAAATTTTATATATTTTCATTAAATGTCAAATAATTAATAAAATTGTACTATTCTTAAAAAGTATACCGTCAGGAGGTAGTCTAAGTTTAGAATGACAGTGAGTAATTGAATTTATAGGAAGTTTAAAGTTTTTTTGAACTTTATCGTCGATGCGAATTTACTTCATTTCTTATTTAATTTATTAAAAATGTTATTTTTTTTAAGTTAATGCAATTATGGTACTAATGTTAGGTAAAATATTACAATAATATTCTAATGTTGTATATGGGTACTAATTGTATTGATAGTAAATTTTCGATATTAACAATTTTAAAAAGATTATAAAAAATCGATTAATTACAATAGTCTTTTTAAGTAAATGAAAACAATATTGACTGATTTACGTAATACTAGAAAAATAAATAAGCTTGGAAAGTATGTATTGTGCGAACATAATGGAGAAAAACAGTAAACTCGCGTCACGGCGTGCTTTAATTTATTGAATGGGCACAAAAGATTCTGAATTATATTGTTACTAGTGATGAAAAGTGAATCCTGTATAATGATGATTCGACCTGAAAGAGATAGTTAAGGTAAATTCTTACTCAGATTCAGATACAATAGGCTATTTATAGTTAGGCAGGCGCTATATAAGCTCTTATCAAAAACCAATTAAAGATGGACAAATTTGCTACGAAGCAAGGTATTCAATAAGCGTGATATCTCGTATTTTGATGTATCGATTTGCTTTTATTAATTTAAATATTATTCTGAATTTACATAATTGTATTAGGGAAAAAAATTATCTTTGATGAAATGGCGAAAATGTCTTTAATTAAAGAATTTGCTCGTTTCCGTCTTAAAGATTTCTACAGATGCAACAATGACCATTCAGCAAAATAGTCAAAGTCCATTGTTAATGGACAATAGGCACCTACTTCGATTGATTAAATAGGCACTCGTTATTCATTTATAAATACTTCTTATATATGTACATATATGATGCTATTTTATCTCAGTTTTATTATATTTTTAATATCTGTTTGGTGTACATCTATAGATGTATTTAGGCTTGCATTCTATAACGCATTAATGATTAAATTATATTGTTGCGTGTATTTCACGTTAGATTCAATCGTTGAAAATATTAATATACTAAATTATATATAATTACTAGCGACCCGCCCCGGCTTCGCACGGGTGCACGTTATATCATATCACATTAGAAATCTCTAAAATTATCAGTATTTCTCTACTATATTATGCATGTATTATACATATAAACCTTCCTCTTGAATCACTATATCTATTAAAAAAACCCGCTTCATAATCCGTTGCTTAGTTTTAAAGATTTAAGCATACATAGGGACGGACAGATAGCGACAACGACTTTGTTTTATATTATGTAGTGATGATAAATTATTCCAATTGGTAGATTTATGTTGATACTATAATAAATATTTAAATATTTGTCTAATATACTTAATATCAGTTAGGTAATGTCTTTATTACTTTGAGTAGGTGCAAATAGATCAGTCATTTTACTCAGTATCTATCTCTTTGTTTTTTTAATTAAGATATTAGAGTATCGCTATAATTAATTTCGCCTTAGATATGTAAATAGCATCATGATTATCAGATTAATTATAGCTTGTCAGTAACTAGACAGTTGGTAATTCAAACGTGTCAGTGTACGAATATTGTAGGATGTTTACATAAAGCAGAACGCAATAATGTCGTTGGTAAATGTAGATTCCGCCGGAGTGTAAGATCGTAATGTATCTGGAAATACACGTCGTGAAACACGCACGAACGAGAATTATGAGAGAATTCTGTCCGAGTGGCACGCGTCACACAGTAAACCTGTCTCGTACTTTGATGATATCGAATACAGTACACGTTCCAGACTGTTTGCTTGAATGTTTCATGTTTGAATTTGGCCGCCTTGTGTCGATGGTTATAAAACCTTAGAAGCTGTCTTTACGAGACCTTTTAAAGGTGTTAATTTAGACCCTTAAATTGAACCCCTAAGAAACTTACAAAGCGAATTTACATTTTTATCTAACATTCTGTAAAAGAATTATGTAAAGTGATGTGAAGTGGTAAAGAGAGTTAGTACGGAGTTTTTTAAAGGTTTTATTAAGGTTGAGCTTAACTTAACGGGAGTGTTAATTTAGATTCATTTGCTTACATTAATATCATTGTAGTTGCAAGCTATTAACATTTTTGTCACATCTATCATATACAGAATCATTTAACAAGTCAAAAAACAGTTTATTAGGTGAAAGTAAACGAAAATGTTTCAAAATCAGGAGACTGCAGAATTAAAGAGAAAGAAACATAAAAGATTATGATTTACCAAATAACTTATGAAAATGGTAAGAAAATCAAAATAAAGCACATATACATTAGAAAGTCAACCATTACGTGCGACTATGTAGTTGAAGCGCAGCTGCTAGTGACGTAACACTCGTTGTGTACTGAGGTCCCGCTGGACCGTCAACATACTCTTTACTCAGCAATACAACAATTGTATTATTTTATATGTTGCAATATAGAGTTAGTATTGTAACATTGGGATATGTTAGTTTTGTTAATATCTAAATAATTTTATAACTGTTCGTAAAGATGTTTATAATTATTTGCTGTTAAAATACGCTATAAACGGCTCAATTAATTTTGATGAAATTTTGTTCACATATAGATAAGGCAAAGTCGCGGAATTTAATTAGAATTTTACAAGGAAAAGAAGAAAGTATTTAGTAAATCGCAGATAAAAAGTCTTTTATTCTGTTCCGTGTTTTGATCGCTGAAATATAATTGTAGCGGGATGTAGATAGTGTTAAATCAGATACATAATAAGTATAAGTGTCACGTAGTACATATTATTATCTACTATCGCTGGATTCCAGCTTGTATAAACATTTTCCGTACATTACATTATTGACTAACTTATCCTGTATTATCTTTTTATAGCTGTTGGTATTATCAATGACTTCGTTTATATTCTGTTTTTACTATTTTCAAGACTAGGTGTGGTTTAGAACATTTATTCACAGATAACAAACAACCTTGTATTGTTTAGGTTTCCACAAGGTCCCAATTGATATTCAAAATTCTTTAGATCTGAAATTTAAATATAAAACACTTTAAATGAAATTTAAATATAAAATATTATAATATTTTTTTTTTATAAACTCGTTGGTATGTCCATAAGAATTATGTATATGGTTTGTTCTGGTGGATTTTTTAAGTTATATTGCGATTTAATTTTCTGCATCTTGTAAAATTTATTTTGTCATTGAAATAATCATTACTAGTTGGTTAGGTTTATATAGTTTTATGATGAACATATCGTGGGGAGAGTATAAATTTCTAAATGAAAATGTTTAATCTCAAATCTTATTATAAGTATTTTTTTCTAAAAGACAATTCCAAAGTTTTCATATTACAAGCTAACTAAACCTTATATGTCATCTAAAAGCCAGTATCTGCTTCAAAAATGGAAAATACCTCGCGTTAATCTCTAAGATGATGCTGAGTCTAGGGTTTGATTGACGTAACTACCTATCACAAAATGTTCGATAACTACTCAAGCTTACAGGGCGGGTCTTCAGTCGGGGTTAGGCATCATTATGAGGACTTGTAAGATACTGAGCGCGATAATCCTCACTCGTTCTTCTTACAAGATATTCTTAGTGTTCACATATTCAGTATTAATAGAGAATTATTACACGCTACCAGTTTTCATATATTTAAATGTTTTTGAGTAAATCGATTTCATGAGTTATGTTTTATTACGAATGAAAATGTCCCTGTAATATTTCTTGTTTATACACTCAGTAGTTTTGGGTTTTGGCTGTATAATTTTTTTTATTTATGATATACATATACAGATGAAAAAACATTTGATTTTCTTATACTCGGTTATTTTATTTTAATATTATAATACATAAAGATAAATAAATGAACTCGCAATCACATCAGTAAGGATTAGCTTTGCCCCCCACATTGCTTTATTCACGTGAATTTGAATAAACTTATCTGTGTGTTAATTATGGAATAATCTATTTCTGTACCGAATTTAATTTAAAATCAAAATCAGCCAGTTGTACGTTTAAATATCTTTATATATTTTCTCATAATTTAATATTAGTAGGATATGAAGAAGTGACGAATGAGAGGAAGGGCTATGATGTTAGATTTTATAAAGTAAATCATGTTTATGGCTAAGAAAAAATGCTGCTCTGCTCCACTTTCATTGTTCTCACATTCGACCTAAATCTCGTAACCAGTCTGAAAAATTTTGTCCGGCATATTGCACTTTTAGGGTTTCACAGTCATCACCAAAGAACTTTTAGCAATGACCTTTTTTTACTAATCTTATGCTATTTTATTAAAACATATGATTCTAGACCTTATTATAAGTATTTAGAAATTTATTAAACTTTCTAAATAAAATCATAAAATTGTATCAAACTGTTAGTGTTAATGTAAAATTTTTAATTAATTCTATTGTGAATATACTATTGTAGTAAGCAAATTTACATTAATAAAATAAATTGATAATCAAATTATATTTATCGTCATTATCGGTATATATTTGTATTTTTTTTCTACTTTTACATTTCCTCATCAATGAGTCTGGTGATGGTGATCTTCGCACTTTGCAATTCTAGTTATTTAAACCGACCAGCCATCTAAGCGAGTATAGTCTTCTGGATCTTTGTCTGATAGATTTTGTATGAATAATAATATATATCTAAAATATTATTACTACGGAACTCTAATCCGTGCATGCTCGATATATTTCCTTTACGTATATTATTTATGAGATCTACTTTATCGGAATTTTAAGTTGTCATGCAAATTTATTTATAGGTATTTCTTTTGTATTAAAATGAACGTAATTTAAATTTTCAAAAGTTTAGAATATAACCTACTAAACTTGTAGATTCGAGAGATATAAAATAAATGGAAATAAGTATATACATACAGTGATGGAAAACACCAACTACAAACCAAATCAATCGGAATAAGGGCGATAGTCGCCCCGTGCTATGTCGTGGGATTCTAATTACGTTCAGTGAAATGTAGGCATACCCAGTTCACCACAGTAAGAATGTAAGAAAGACTCTGTTTTCCGCACTTAGCCTCTCATTTGGGCCGTTGTGCGTAAAAAACAGTTCACCACAACGGCAACAGATGTTTCTGACTACCCCATTAGGGATTATAGTCATAACTATATTTTTTTAAGAATCTACATTTGGAACGTATCATTTAAAGTTTCGATCTCAATTTAATAAGAGAGATACCTAAGCCTAAAAACATTAAGATAAGTGCGCAATAAAAAGAACAGGTCACGTAGCTGGCTGCGGCCATAATCCGAATCGTCCCTTCTCATCCAAACATCTTCGTAATCCTTATCGACGGTGGGACATGCTCAGTTATAAATTATTATTCGCCTTCTTATTTTTGCTTTCACGAACAATCTGAATGATTCTAAATAGTCATGAATGGCATAAATATTATTGGACGTTATGTTTTTGATTATATTTATCCATGTATTTAACAAGATTTTAAAACTTGTAATATATAAAATGTAATAATGGTTTACAATAACAACAATTTTCATTTGCATAAAAATATTTTAATAATGTTAAATAATAATACATGCAAATACTTTTCTTACATGAAAATATTTTAATAATGTAAAATAAATAATAATTTGCTGTGTGGCCTTGACATAGAATAAATCACCCTTTTCTTTCCCGTTGGTGTCATGAGATGCGACTAAGGGAAATATGAGCTAGGTTAGGTTAGGCCACGAACACTCAGGTTGTGGAATGAGCTCCCTGCTGAGGTTTTCCCAAAAGACTACAGCATGGGGTTCTTCAATAGGGGGTAAAGAGGTTTCTTCAGGGTCGGCAACGCACGCGTAATACCTCTGGTATTGCAGGTGTTCATAGGCTATGGTAACCATTTACCATCAGGTGGGCCGTATGCTTGTTTGCCACCTCAGTGGTATAAAAAAAAAGGTACGGGCAGGAGCGTTCCTATTAAAATACGAGTGAATGCCTATGCCTGCGGTTGCCAATCCGCCTGCCAAGCGTGGCAATTACTGACAAAACCTCTTTTATGAAGGAGGTCTATGCTCAGTCATGGGCAGTTAACAGCTGATATAAATGAAAGAAAAAAATCTCGAGGCTAGTTTTAATAGCACATAATCTAAAACGACTCAAAAATTAAGAAGTTCATAGAATAATATTAAAACTAAAAGGAATAAATATTAATATACTTTTTATTAACTACGCTCCTAATTTTAGCTGAAACGATGTCACTCTCAAGCTACTATTATTAAGTTCAAAGTAATTTATATAATTCATTTTTTATAATCCTACTTGTCTACCCTAAATTATTCTTTATTAGTAAGTAAATTTTCTTAGAACTAGAACTTTGTAAATTAAATTGTTTTTCTTCTCTATTATTATCTCTATATATTTTTTTTATATTTTAAGAAAGATTTTTACGTTCAAGTATTCAAATGTAGATTATATGGGTAATGAACGAAAGGAATTTTATATTTTTTCCTTTCTGTGTTATAAGTGTAATTATATCAGCTGCAAGCAGAATCCAGTAGCCGTGTATGTTCCAATATATTTTCTAATAACATGATTGTAAGAAATCAAAGAAAAGATGTTTGAAAATTATGGAACGCTGAGGAACACTGCTGCCCATCCCTCGCTCGCCCTTAGTCGCCTCTTACAATACCTACGGGAAAGCGCTATGGTTTCTGTATGTCTAAAAAGTATATTTTTAATTTAAAATATACAATAAGTGACAAAATTTGCAAACACAAGAATAATCTACGTATTTATAATATCCACGGTTTGTCTAAATGATATGATCGTTAATAGTCAATCGTAATTTTTATAAAACAGAAATATGCAAACATTTATAGAAACTTAAATCCACGATCAGGACCTAATGCGACGCGATTACAAGTAAATAGTACCTACTAGTACCTATCTAATATTTATTGCCGACCTTTCGAATTGGGTTACACCATGTCGTGGTCACAGTTGGACTGAAAGGAACGGCGTCCACTTTTGGCTGCCCATGCAGTATCTTTGGCCACCTCCACATTATCATTATGTTTTTTATATACATTCTCCACACCGTACTCACGATATCCACATTGTATTTAAAATGCGATCTCTATATAGTTTGTGTATTTAAACAAAAATGTAAAAAAATCAGATATGTGTTTAAATTGTATTTACCTGTAATCGTGTCGCATTAATTATAATACAATATAATGAATTTAAAATATTTATATATAACGCGAAAGTTTAAAATAAACTACAAATTTAATTTTGTTAATCGTTACTCTAGTTGAAGTTAGTAATATTAATAAAAAATTGAATGATTATTGTACTTAATTATTGTAATAGTATCTTGTCAATTTAAAGCTTATTTAAATTGGTTGTTTAAATTAACTGATTACTTTATAAACTGATACAAAAAATATTAATACAAATAATTAATATTTCAAAAAGTAAATGTTGAGAAAATTTTATGATGAAACTTTTACATTTCAAGACAATGCGGTAGATTAAGGGACTCTCAGGGGTGGCTGTTTTATAACTTATTAGTCCTTCTCGACTTTTATTCCAGATTACATTTATGGGAATAATAAGAAAGGCAACTCACCATGTTGGTACTCTTAAATTTAAGTTAAAAAAGTATTGGCCGATTTTCCGATCTCAGAATATATTATCATATAGATGTGGTGACGACATGACTATATCTGAAATCGACATCAATGTATAATTCATAATGGACTTTTTTAGAACGGACGTTTAACAAAATATGACCTGAAAAATATTGGTTCATCTAGTTTTTCAATGTATAGTTTTATTGATACATTTGGTTCGAACAAAGACAAAGAAAAACGGGACAATAAAAACAGGAAAAAAAGATTGATTGTAAATACGGCATCTTTTATATTAAAAACTAATACTCATAGGAGATGATTTGTTACTTGTTACCTTCCAAATTTCAAAATCAAGAACACAATGAAATTCTTTCCATGTGTATGTTTATTATACCATGTATAATTTAGACTAATTTAAGGTAAATATTAACAAGCTATTTGTTGGTCCTCGAGCTTTCTCTTAGACTACTTCATCATTTTCAATCAGTTGAGATCTGGTTCAATCGCGGGATCCTTTAACAGTAAAAAATATAACCAATATTATTTTATTTTTATGGAAACTGAAAAATATAATGTGTGACAGATTAAGTTTTTTTTTTATTTTCTGATAGATACATTTTTAATCGATTAAAATTTTTTATTAATAAACTGTTATATGTAAATATGGTGCTTATATTTACGAAATTTTACACTTTAATTAATATTATCAATTTTAATATTAATTGAATATAAAATATCTAATATGTCTCCTATAAACAGATGCAGGACGACGTAATATGAATGTAATATAAAATAAAAAAGTTACATTCGTTTATTATTTTCTGTTTCTATTTATTTATTGTATTTTTTTTTATAGACATTTAATCTATTTGGACCATCGTAGATAATAAGTTCTCCTTTTAGATTGATGAATAAGGATAATCATTAAATAGATAAGCATTAAAGAAAGACAGACCAATTTCAACAATACGACACCCATTCATAATTTATGCAATGCGACAAGAATACAATGCTTATTGCATACTTACTCGTACATTAATGAGTAAAAGAAATTGTTATAAATCTTATTGTTAGCCTTACATTACACATCGTGATATATTGCGTTGTTAAACTATTATATTATTTGCTATGTCATTCAATATCCAATACCTACTTCAAGGTGCAGCAAGTAACACGATGTCGTGCGAATACAGATATATTTACTGTATTCAATAAAATTAAGTATGAACAAATTAACATCTGGTAATCTTAATAAATTAGCTAACAATGCAAGAATGCAAGTGAAGTATAAAACCGAATTATTGTTTACCTAAACAAATTCAATACGTATATAATAGGCATGGTAAAGATTGCTAATTTTAATTGATTTTCTTTTATTGTTGTTATTTTAATGGAAATAGTGACTTAATTAGTTAAATTTTACAATTGTGATTTTCATATCAATATCACTTTCTGCTACTATGTACTTTGTAACATTGGCGAATGGCTGTTACATTTAAATCTGAACGCAATTTTTGTATTAGTCTATGTGAAAAGAAGTAGCTGGCGTGATGTAGTATTTTCCAATACACATGCATCCTGTGAAGCATCCTATGTCTAGTAGGTGTATCTGTTAGAATTTTACTGCTTTGTTATGCATTAGGGTTACTCCACGTACAGATCAAATTGTGTCGAAGGGCTTCGGCAGCGCTCCGGTCGTATTTTTTCACGTGTAACGTGATAACGGAAAAACTATATTCTCAATGTTTTAAAATATCCAATAGATTTAAATTAAAAATATATATTTTTATTATTTTTAGTTTTGTTTAAGTATTCGTATAATTTTGATGATTCATGTTATGCGAATATTGAAATAACTGATTAAACAAAATGTTGATCAGTAGAATCAAAAAATATTTGTTTAAAGCTATATTAAGTGCAAAATGCCTCCTTTGATGTTTCGAGATAATTGTATGTAGGAGTATTTGGTAACAGCAATTGTACAATTCCTGGAAAAGGAGACTTTATTGTCTGTTTTCAAAAATTCGTCTATTAGGTATATTGCATATTATATTAAACAATGTAGTGTATCTTATATCTACTCGTATTTCTGAATGTCAAGCACATTGCTTTTATACTGCTATGTTTTAATTTGAAAGATGAGTGAGATATTACTGAATTTACTAAGTATAATGGGTAATATAGACAGAAGGTGCGAGTGATGCTTAATTAATGGTGCCATTTATAAGGCATTTAAAAGGAACCGTTTGTTAGATTATCTTTGTTTAATATACAGAATAAAATATAATAATAAGAATAGCAAATGTACTCCTTTAAAAAACTACTTATTATTTTACTAAGCAATAAGTTTATATGGGTACAGAAAAAGTTCAATCATTACGAATAAATTTTCATAACGTTACTGAAACGGTCTATGATTTAAATAATTAAAAAGTAAGGTAGACAAGGTAAGGTAATAATATTTTGACCCATAAACTCACAGATTATAGGATCGAATCTATCTATTTATTTTCTTTTACTATTATTTCCTTCGAACCAGTATAAAATTAGTCTTAATAATATATTTTGTTTGAGATTCAATTTATAAGCAAATTTTCGCGGGCCTGTAATAAAATATGAGATATATTGGGGTTATGGAATTCAATTTGACTCTGTATGATATTTGGGAATCGAGAAGCGGGAAGGAATTATATTCTAGAATCTTATTGATTTATGTGAAAGTTGGATTGGGATTATATTTTTCTATAATTAAAAATAGTGTCTTACAAAAAAAAAACAACTTCAAAGGTGACAAAACTAGTTTTTTAATCTATAAATTAAACTACTAAACAGATTTTGATTCTGTGGGACCAATCTGTAAATATATCCTTTCAGCTAAAACATGAATTTTTCAAATCGATTTAAAACTGACGAAGTTATGAGGTAACAAACATTAAAAATATGCAACCTAATTGAGATCCTCCTTTTTTGAAGTCGGTTGAAAATATTTATTGTTCAACTCAGACTATTGAACCTAAAACTATTTGAAATAATATAGAAGACTAACTATATGCCATGATTTTGCTCGCGTGAATCAATACAGTACATAAAGTATCCTATGTATTAAGTTAGGATATAACCTACCCGTGTACCAAATTTCATTCAAATCCATTCAGTTATTTTAGCGAAAACGAGTTACAAACATATATTTCTAAAATATTATTAGTAATAAATTATTCTCAGATTTGATATTCTAATATAATCTGATATCTGATTTGATATTACAACCAAGGTTACATGTATATTTTCATAACTAATAACGTAACTTTAAAATATTTTTAGTATTATCTAATTCCTTAAAATTGTTTACTTCGTTTCATACTTTATAATTATGTTAAAGCAAATGTTGTGAATACCTTTAAAAGGCATATGCATTATTATTGTATTGTATTTAATGGTTGTAATATGTGTTATAATGCAATATTCTGTTGTTGTTCCTATATATAAATAAATTTGTATATATTATAAGCCAACGTGATCTACGTAGGCATAATTAAAAGAGTATAAGTATATGATAGCACACACTATATGATACAATGTAGGTGTAAGTATTTAATACAAGTACTTACACCTTGGTGTTAGTCTACACACGATGACGTGATAATACTCTACTGGAATGTTTTCATTACATGGTAAGACTTTAATGCTTAGATGTTTAAAATAAGCATTTTAATCCTACTAATATTATAACTTAATTTTAACCCGCGACTTTGTCCCTATAACCGGGAAAATATTTAGTCTTAGTCATTCTTTATACTAAATACTACACATATACCAGAGTTCATATCAATTACGAAGTAACAAACAAAAAATCTCACTTTTGTATTTATAATATTAACATAATATATTAATTTATTATTATTATGAATAGATAGTAAGTATCAAATATAAATGATTGCTGTGTGGTCCCGTTTAGAATGTTCTACCCTTTCCATTCCCATAGGTCTCGTAAGAGGCGACTAAAGGAACTTAATTGTTAAGGTATGAGCAGCAGCGTTCCTCTTAAAATGTTATTGAAGTGTAACTGCGATTGCCAACCCGCCTACCAAGCGAGCCAACTACGTTACGGAGGAGGCCTATGTTCAGCAGTGGACAGTTGACATGACGATGATAATAAATGATTTAAAATTTATATGTGAAGTCTTATCGTTATTGGTGGATATTACTTACTTTACCTAATACTAAAATATATTTATACTAAAAATTACTTATTAATAGTATCTTGTATTCATACTTTATACAGTAATATTTATTACAGTTTCTTTTGTCTATCATTGTGAAATGAACAAGAAAAACATATAAAAATTATTTAAGCTGATTTAAAGAATGTTAGTTTGATATTTTCAACAACTGATTTAGTATAAGTATATTCTAAAAATGTCCTTTTTTACTGGTAAAGTGGGGTATCAGAATAATTTAATATTTACTTAAAATAAAAATTATTCATGTTTACGAAAAAAAATACCTTCAAACATTTATGAATATCATATCACAATTGCATATATTTATGCATAATGAGATGAAGATATCGCGTAATATACACACAATACGTACAGTCGAATACAAAATAATGATAGAGATTTTTAACAGACTGTAGGTATATATCCTTTAGTATTCAAAATTCATATTCCACAAAATATTGGCAGAAAAGTTGCTGCACTCATGTTTCATAGATCTTATCTATTCAGCCGGAGGCGGCGGCGGAATATCTATTAGTAGAATAAGGCTACGGGTAGCGTAAAATATTCCGAAGAATCGATGTGCAAAAAGGTATTCTGATTCTAAATTCATGAGATTTTTTTATAGTCATCATTTGTGTTTTATCCATGTATAAAGTCATATTATCAGATGCTGTGTATTGATAATTTTGCTATTTATATTAAGAATAAAAAGAATTAAACACAATTATTATTCACGGTGTGAATTTTCAATTCATTCAATTAATATTAAATCAATATTCGAATGGAATAACGTGATATTCTCAAACACATAAAAAAGAACTATGAAATTACCGATAAAGATTTGTAAACAAATATTAAAAAAACGTATATATATA